ATTTGTTAAAAAATGTTTGAAATTTTCTTTAGAAAATTTTTTATTTCTTTATGATTTTTAGATTAAAATAGATGAAATTTGCGGGACTTTTTGAAGAATGGATGTTAACTATTTGCTGATGATTTCCTGTTTTAGATGTTGTTTTTCAATATTTAAATTTCTATTCTTTATTATACAAAATTCGCTAATATAGTATTGCTATTCTGTTACTATGTAAACAGAATAGTAAATAATGGACTTTTATGCAATTATTTCATGAATATCGTTAAAAAAAATTAAAAATTCAAAAAATTACAGTCATGTACAAGTTCATACATTTTATGAACTTTTAATATTTTTAATGAAAATGGTTTGGGAAAAAAAGTCGCGTTCGATTCATACAATTTATTACAAAATTCCTTCCAGTTATGTATTCATTTTTTCTGTGTTAGAAAAATAAAAATTTCTTATTTTGCTTTTAATGAACACAATAGTTAAAGCACACTTTAGCCTTAAAAACCATTAATAAAATTGTGATATTCATAAACAAATAATAAACCTAAATTATATGTATGTATATTGTGCTGTTTTATGTTTAACTTGTCAACAATGTACAATATGGCTGTCATTTTATGTGTTAGTGTTGCGTACAATTAGGATAAAATATTCGTTGGTTCGGTTTTCTTAATTTCATATTTTTGTTTATATGTAATAGATTTTTGACAATAAAAACGAACTTTTAAGAAAAATATATATAAATATGGCTACAATTAATGTTTATTTAGTTCAGATGTATAAATATAACATATAATTTCTAATTATTATTAAAAGTATCCCAATAACGGATATTTTGCGACAAAATAAACATCACTATTGCACATTTTCTTATTATACCCTCCACCACCATCAGTGGTGATAGAGGGTATATATAACTTTGTCATTCCGTGTGTAACACCAAGAAATATTCATCTGAGACCCAACAAAGTATAAATATTCTGGGTCCTTATGAAATTCTGAGTCGATTTAACTATGTCCGTCTGTCCGTCCGTCCGTCCGTCCGTCTGTCTGTCTGTCTGTCTGTCTGTCTGTCTGTCTGTCTGTCTGTGTAAAACACGCTCACGTTAAAACGAAGCAATATAATTTAACCAAATTCACCCAGAAAATTAATTATTATCCGGTACAGTTTGGTATTGAAAATGAGCAAAATCTGTTCACATTGGGAAAAGTTATGAATCAAAATTTAAAACAACCTCGAAAAAAAATAAGCATTTTTTACACATTCTGATGTAATTTTCTCGAAAACTATGCAAGATAATTTCATGAAAGTCATCATACATTCGTTTCTACACAAGATATTTATTTGTGCTAAAAATTGCCAGCATCGGTCCATAATTTCATATACCTCCCATACAAAAGTGCATATTCCCGGAAAATAAGTTTTTTGTTAATAACTTCCGTCAGAATGTTGATATCTTCACAAAATTTTACAAATTAAAATCTTATGTTAATAGAATTCATTGAGAGAAAAAATTTTCTGGATCGGTCCATAATTGGACATAGCTCCCATACAAGGTCCCCTCCCGAAAATCACTTAAACGCGCATAACTCATTACTAAATTAAGATATCCATATAAAATTTGGAATAAGTATTACTCATATGCACAGAAATATTACTATAAATTTTTTTTCCGATCGGTCCATAATTGGTCATAGCTCCCATATAAGGTCCCCTCCCGAAAATCACTTAAACGCACATAACTCATTACTAAATCAAGATATCCATATAAAATTTGGTACAGGTATTGCTCATATGCACAGAAATATTACTGTGACAGTTTTTTTTCCGATCGGTCCATAATTGGTCATAGCTCCCATATAAGGTCCCCTCCCGAAAATCACTTAAATGCACATAACTCATTACTAAATCAAGATATCCATATAAAATTTGGTACAGGTATTGCTCATATGCACAGAAATATTACTGTGACAGTTTTTTTTCCGATCGGTCCATAATTGGTCATAGCTCCCATACAAGGACCCTTCCCGAAAATCACTTAAACGAACATAACTCATTACTAAATTAAGATATCCATACAAAATTTGGTACAAGTATTGCTCATATGCATAGAAATATTACTATGAAATTTTTTTCCGATCGGTCCATAATTGGTCATAGCTCCCATATAAGGTCCCCTCCCGAAAATTAACTAAACGCACATAACTCATTACTAAATCAAGATATCTATATAAAATTTGGTAAAAGTATTGCTCACATATACAGAAATATTACTATGAAATTTTTTTCCGATCGGTCCATAATTGGTCATAGCTCCCATACGAGGTCCCCTCCCGAAAATCACTTAAACACTCATAACTCATTACTAAATTAAAATATCCATATAAAGTTTGGTACAAGTATTGCTCATATGCACAGAAATATTACTGTGAATTTTTTTTCCAATCGGTCCATAATTGGTCACAGCTCCCATACAAGGTCCCTTCCCGAAAATCACTTAAACACTCATAACTCATTACTAAATTAAAATATCCATATAAAGTTTGGTACAAGTATTGCTCATATGCACAGAAATATTACTGTGAATTTTTTTTCCAATCGGTCCATAATTGGTCATATCTCCCATACTAGGTCCTGCCCCGAAAATTTTAATTTCCTTAAGTTTTTCACACAAATTATAAAGTATCGTTAAATCATATCTTAGGGCGCTATAAAAATATAAAAGAAAATGGGGTTTGTAATGTTCAAAAAATCTTGGAATTGTAACAGATTTAAGCTGTTTAACTCTTGGGGTTTTTCTATTTAAGACATGAGAAAACTTATTTCTATAAATATTTGATCAATTACAACAGTATTAATATAAAAGTAGCTGGTGGAGGGTATTTAAGATTCGGCTCAGCCGAATATAGCACTCTAACTTGTTTTTACATATTTTCCGTGTAATTTTTGATAAATTTTCGCAAATATTGATAAATTTCTTTGATATTTGACTAATTTAAACGGCGAATATATTTTGCATTAGTATAACATTAGTCAATATAATTGACATGATTGATTACTTTATGACATTATATTTAACCAACAAACTTTGAAAAAGCCAAATCAAATTATGTTGTCCATCATTTGGTTGACAGACGGGCATTTCCAAAGATTTGAGTTTTTTCCCAAAATATAATTGTTTAAAATTTTTCTGGGATTTTATTTACAAATTTGTAAACGTTAAAATTAGAATTTTAGATTTTATTTTAAAATAAACCATAATTAGTTTTCGCAATCAACCTAAAACTACCGAAATAAGTTTTATCTGAGAAAAAATTTTTAAAAATCAACTTATTGCTGGCTTAAAGAAGGATCGAGCCTACAATAAAATTCATATATTTGTCAATGGTTTATTGAAGGCGTTTTAAACTATTTGACGTTTATGAATACTATTTTCCTGAACTTTGCCTAAAATTTTTTAATAAACCTAAAATAAGTTTTTATAAATACAGCCGTAAATGGTTATGGTTGAAAAAAACTGTATTACCCACATTTGTGTCAGAATTTTTTAATATTTTTGTATTTATTATGCGTTTTTATGTAATACTGAAAAAATAACGAAATACTGAACAAATTCAGAACACTAAATAAAATACAGAACATTTTCACGTTATTTAGCAAAGAATATTTATTACAGAACAGAGCTCTAACATACAGTACTGTTCTGTATAATACAGAACGTCTGGTCACCGTATGTATGGTAAAAAAAATTTCTAGTACAAGCTAGGGTTCTATAAATCGACTTTCGAATAATCGAACAATCGACTTTTTGTCGAAAAAAGTCGAAAAGTCGAAGTCGACTATTTTGTTCCAAAAAAGTCGATAACTCGACTATCGTCTGTGAAAAAAGTCGAAAAGTCGACTTTGTGAATAAAAGTCGAAAAGTCTGAAAGTCGAAAAGTCTGAAAGTCGAAAAGTCGAAAAAAGTCGATAAGTCGAAAAAAGTCGATAAGTCGAAAAAAGTCGAATAAAGTCGAAAAAAGTCGAGAAGTCGTAAAAAGTCGAAAAAAGTCGGAAGAAGTCGAAAAAAGTCGGAAAAAGTCGAAAAATCGAAAATTGTAGAAACAAGTCAAAAATAGTCAAAAATTTTAAAAAAGTGGAAAAAAGTCAAAAACTCTAAAATAGTCGGAAAACTCGAAAAAAGTCAAAAAATAGTTGAGAAAAAAGTAGAAAGAAGTCGAAAATAGTCAAAAAGTCGAAAAAATCGAAAAGTCGAAAAAAGTCAGAAAAAGTCGAAAAAAGTCGAAAAGTCGAAAAAGTCGAAAGGTCGAAAAAAGTCGAAAAAAGTCGGAAAAAGTCGACTATTTATAAAATACTTATAGTCGAAAAGTCTGAAAGTCGACTTTTATTTGAATGAAAAAAGTCGAAAAATCGACTTTTCATAAAATGCAAAAAGTCGAAAAGTCGACTTTTAACTAAATGAAAAAAGTCGAAAATTCGACTTTTCGTTTCAACTATAGAACCCTAGTACAAGCCGCATTTTGCATCGACACTGTATTACCACCCTCAAACAAATATAAGCTGTGTTACCCAAATATTACTGCGTTATGTCGTTGTTGTTGCTTTTTATGCTTTTATTTAGAATTGGTTAAGGAAATTTTAAGAGGTAGTAAGATTTTTGCCCATATCTCAGTTATATGTGGACCGATTTTGTTGATTTTCAATAGGAAACTTCTCGAAAGCATGTCTGACAGAATTATTGTAGATTTCAGAAAATTGTTTTCAACAGATAAACAGACAGACGGATATGGCTTAATCGACTACGCTATATATAAGGATCCAGAATATATATACTTTATAGGGTCGGAAAATTATATTGTGGAAACGACAAACGAAATGACAAACTTATATATACCCTTCTCACGAAAGTGAAGGATATAATTAATATAGATCTTATTACAAATAGATCAATGTTTCAATTATTTTAAATTATTAATTAAAAACTTTTGAAATTTATTCATTCAAGTGGTAACATCTGTTGTTTGCCCAACTCCAGAGAATCCTAAAAATGGTAAAGCCACTTATACTACTTTAGCGTATAATTCTGTTGTGAGCTACGAATGTCGGTATGGATACACATTAATGGGAGAAAGTTCTAGCCGATGTGGTGCTGATAGAAAATGGAGTGGAACGTTACCAATTTGTAAGGGTAAGTCAAATTTCCAAACTTCAACAACATATATATGGTTTCTTGCGAAATCGTATGTGATTTTCAGTTGTGTTATGATACATTTATTTCGAATTGTCTACATCCAAAATGGCCAAACAACGAGAAAGTATGTACATTAGGATGTCCGTGGACCACTTCTTTGTAGGAATACCTTTCAATCGATGCGTATTGATGTACTGAACGAACACGAGAAAAATAAAAACATATTTTTTCGAAATGGGTCGCAAAAATTCTGTAATTTGGAACTTATCGCAAGAAAAATTATAAACATTTTTTACAGTAATTTTGGTCTTAAAACGATTTACACCCAGTATCGCAATGTCTGGTTATATTTATTTTATAGTAAGGTTAAATTGACAGTTTTCATTTAAAAAAATGCTTTAACCGGCAGAGGTGGAGTTAACTGGGCTTAGTGTTATATAAGTGGCATATAAACTCCAAAATAATCTAAAAAATTCTAAAATGGACCAAACCAAATGCCAAAAAAATTATAAATTAAAAAATTTTAAAATTATTTTTCCCATAATCATGGAATTTTTGAGGCCCATTTCAAAAAAATTGGAGATACATATTTTATTTTTCACAAATTATACTGAGGTCAGAATTTTCAATCGCTTGTAGGGAACTGAGGACCATTCGAAAAATTTTTTTTTTCGTATTCAGTACATTAATACGCATTAAGAATTTCTTCAAATAAGGGAAATATCCCTCACACTTGCAAAAAAGTTGCAATTATTTATATAATGGCTGATTCACCGTTAAAGCTAGAATCACGAATTTTTGGTAAATGGCGGTCCACACACGGAAACATTAGTTGAGAAACTTTGTTTCAGAAACTACGTGTTAATTGCATTGATCTGGTTTTGTACGAATGAGAAGAATAAGAAAACAAAACAAGTTTCCGAGTACGAGAAACTCCCAAAAAAAGTTTCCTGGTGTAGACGGGCACTAAGAAAGGATTTTTGGAAACTCGAACGTTTAGGGGATGAAATGGTAAATGAAGGGGTAAAAGTTGGTTTATTTCAGAAATTGGTGTTAGTGCGTGATGTTTTTGATTCCAAATGACCCAAAAAATTATATTCGTTACTTATACAACATTGGCCATCACGTGCGGTATGCCAAAAATTTCGCCAAAATTAGTTATATCCCTAATGTACATATGTATGTATTAATATCGATATTATGATAAAGTTCGATATAAAAAATTTCATTTATAACTTTATCAAGTTCTCTGAGGACGAGCTTGATAACTAGGCCCCGTCATTAGCCCTTATACTAAACTATAGTTAATGACCTAAAAACTCTTAAATATATTGAAATATATGTATGTAAATTGTAATATGTTAATGTGAGTGGTTGAGTAAATCGTTGCTTTTAATTCCGATTTGATCGGTCCATATCATACTTGTTTATTGCTTCATTATTGCAAAGAATGTTGAATATTGAACCTAGAAACATAAAATGGATATTTTTGGTAATTTTTCTTTCTTCAAAAGGCACTTTTTGCATTTTCTATAATATTGAACCTAGAAAAATAAGTGAGCGAGAACATAAAAAAGGGGACTTTTTAGTACATTTTCCTTCTTCAAAAAGTACTTTTTAATTTTTTTATAATATTGAACCCATAAACATAAAATAAAACATAAGAAGTCCTAAGTTAGTGAAAATCTGCAGAAAAGGATTCTTTGTACTATTTCGTTCTATGATTGGTACTTTTTGGCTTTTATGCACACACGTAGCACCCTGATTGATTGAAAATCTATAAAATGAGACTTCCTGGTACTTTTTATACCCTCCACCACCATCAGTGGTGATAGAGGGTATATATAACTTTGACATTCCGTGTGTAACACCAAGAAATATTCATCTGAGACCCAACAAAGTATATATATTCTGGGTCCTTATGAAATTCTGAGTCGATTTAACTATGTCCGTCTGTCCGTCCGTCCGTCCGTCTGTCTGTCTGTGTAAAACACGCTCACGTTAAAACGAAGCAATATAATTTAACCAAATTCACCCAAAACATTAATTATTATCCGGTACAGTTTGGTATTGAAAATGAGCAAAATCTGTTCACATTGGGAAAAGTTATGAATCAAAATTTAAAACAACCTCGAAAAAAATAAGCATTTTTTACACATTCTGATGTAATTTTCTCGAAAACTATGCAAGATAATTTCATGAAAGTCATCATACATTCGTTTCTACACAAGATATTTATTTGTGCTGAAAATTGCCAGCATCGGTCCATAATTTCATATACCTCCCACACAAAAGTGCATATTCCCGGAAAATAAGTTTTTTGTTAATAACTTCCGTCAGAATGTTGAAATCTTCACAAAATTTTACAAATTAAAATCTTATGTTAATAGAATTCATTGAGAGAAAAAATTTTCTGGATCGGTCCATAATTGGACATAGCTCCCATACAAGGTCCCCTCCCGAAAATCACTTAAACGCGCATAACTCATTACTAAATTAAGATATCCATATAAAATTTGGAATAAGTATTACTCATATGCACAGAAATATTACTATAAATTTTTTTTCCGATCGGTCCATAATTGGTCATAGCTCCCATATAAGGTCCCCTCCCGAAAATCACTTAAATGCACATAACTCATTACTAAATCAAGATATCCATATAAAATTTGGTACAGGTATTGCTCATATGCACAGAAATATTACTGTGACAGTTTTTTTTCCGATCGGTCCATAATTGGTCATAGCTCCCATACAAGGACCCTTCCCGAAAATCACTTAAACGAACATAACTCATTACTAAATTAAGATATCCATACAAAATTTGGTACAAGTATTGCTCATATGCATAGAAATATTACTATGAAATTTTTTTCCGATCGGTCCATAATTGGTCATAGCTCCCATATAAGGTCCCCTCCCGAAAATTAACTAAACGCACATAACTCATTACTAAATCAAGAT